CTGCCCACAGAAGAATTTCCTGCTATCAGAAAGTACCCATCTCCTGTTTTTTTGTTTTTTTGTTTTTATGAAAAAAAAACAAAACAAAGCAAAACAAAACAAAACGCCAAAGTGGAAAAGAGCCCCAAGGAGTGGGGAAGAGAGAAGCAAGGAAGCCCCCTACCAATGTGGGAAGCATGACTTCCAACTATTCTATGCTTTTCTGCTGCCCTGCCCAGTTTATTTGGATAATCCGGCCAGAGACTCCCTAGGGCTTCAAGCAACCCTGGGTGGGCCAGGGACTACAAGATGAATTTTGTTTTTCTCCAAGAAGAAGGGAAGGCCGCTCTCCAGCCTCACAGACCTATTGGCTGATTTCCCATACCCCTTGGATGCTCCACGAGTCATGAGATGCTAGCCAAGGCCCAGAAGTGGTTATAGTCATCATCTGCACCCCACAGGGAAGGGATACTCAGGGGATAGTGCTCAGAGGAAAATGTGGACAGATCCCGTAATAAGCAAATGAAATAGATTAGCTGGGACCAGCTTCTGCAAACCCACCATCGAACCTCCAAAGTACCTAGGCTCATCTGGGAGAGTTTCAGAAAGCAGCATCTGGCATAGGGTTTGTCCAGGCAGGGCCTGAGCATCTTCCCTGTGCTTGGCCATGAATTGGATGAGTTAGACCCTGTCCCTGGGGAGCTCATAACTGAGGGGAGGGACAAACAAAGCCTTCCCTAAGGGATTCTGATCAGCCTGGGGGGCCAGGGAGTGCAGGAGCTCAGGGTGAAATCAAATAGACTGGAGAGAGGAGCAGGGAACTTGTGTGTTCTGGCTGGAGCTGAACTAAGGACAGCAAGTGAGGCAGGCAGGCTCCTGTTTGGCACCCAGCACAGAGGCTCTGTGAACCAGAGCCCTAAGAGCTCCTGATACTGGTAAGAGCTCCTGATACTGGTAAGCGCTCCTGATAGATACTACTTCTCTCTGCTTCTCCTCCCTCCCCCCCCCTCCCTCCCTCCTTCTGCTTCCCAACCCTCTCTTCTTTCCTTCCCCCCCTCCCTCCTTCCCTCCCTCCCTCCTTCTTTCCTTCCCTCCTTCCTTCCTTTCTTTTGAGACAGGGTCTCCCTGTAGCCCCAGCTTGCCTAGAATCCACTATGTAGACCAGGCTGGCCTTGATCTCACAAAGATCCACCTGCCTCTGCCTCCTGAGTGCTGGGGATCAAAGGTGTGTGCCACCATGCCTGGCTTTCTCAGTTTTCTTATCTCATAAATGAAGATCATAAAACCTTCCTCATTGTTATAAGGATTAAGATTGAGGTACTCCATCCATACAGTAGATTAAACACTGGTAGCGTGAGGTGGCTGGTATGGGGCTGGCAGCCTCTGCCCTGGGGCCAGACTGTGAGCATAGCCTTGGGTGGGCTACTCGCTCTTCCTGTGTCTTCCTTCTGGGAATGGAATAATAGTAACCCACACCTAAAGCTGTTGCTGGGATTGTAAATTTGTATAGAATTCCAGAGAATGCTGAACCTGGTATCTGCACATGTCCAGTGTTCCATATATGCTAAGATATGGTCGCTTGTCATAAAATATGATAATATAAATTTTTGCTGAATGAATGTGTGCTAGATAGCTTAGGTATCAACTTGACACACCTGGGAAGAAGGACGCTCAATTGGGAATTTCCTCTATTAGACTGGCCTGTGGGCATGTCTTGATTTTTTTGTGTAATGTTTGAGGACCCAGTCCACTATGTGTGGTGCCACCCCTGAGGAGATGGTCCTGGGTTATATAAGAAAGTAGGTTGAGCTTAGGCCATAGGAGCAAGCCTACCTCCAGGTTCCTACTGGGTCTTGAGTTTCTAGTCTGACTTCCCTCAGTGATGGACAGCTACTTGGAAGAGTAAGATGAAATAAACCCTTTCCTCCCCAAGTTGGTTTTGGTCAGAGTGTTTTATCATAGCAACAGAAAGCCAAGGAGGACAGCATGACATCTATGGCTAAAATAGTCACCAACAATGAAACTTGAATGTTTAATAAAGTATTTATTTATTTATT